AATTGAAACATAGGATGTTCCATCTCCATGTGAGGAAGAACTTCACTGTGAGGGTGACAGAGCCCTGGAACAGGCTGCCCAGGGAGGTTGTGGAGTCTCCTTCTCTGGAGATCTTCCAAACCCACCTGGATGCCACCCTGTGGCCCGTGCTCTGTGTGTCCCTGCTGGAGCAGGAAGGTTGGACTAGATGATCTCTAGAGGTCCCTTCCAACCTCAACCATTCTGTGATTCTGTGAAGACATATTTCAGGCAACAGTGTTGTGGCAGCATCAAGTATAAAAGTAAAAATGATTAGAAATTAGCTTTGTTTTCCTCTCTTCTACCTACAATCTACCTATTAGAAGCTAAAATAAAGTTCTCTGAACTTTCTTTAATGGTTCCTGTAATCATGGCTCCTTAGCACAACTGACAAATGAGAACATGTTCCCATTTACTCATGCGGGATTTGCTGTTTTTCTCTGCAGAACTTATCAACCTCTGAACAACCCCAATATTAAGGATATTCTGCTAGGATAACATCTATTAACTTAGTGTTTGGTGACTGTTTAATATAGTGGATGTGGATGTAAGTGTGGAAACAAGGCCTGTAATTTGTTTCTCTACTTCATTTGAAATGAATGTCAAAAGTACAGAAAAGACTCATATCTAAAAATCACATCTCCATCCTACCAAGCTTTTGGGCATGTTAAGCTATGATAACTTGTGTTTTTCTCTATTAATTCTGTTCCACTGTGTCAAAAATTTTCAAAGCCACCTTGGAGGATAGAGCCAAGATGCCCCTCCTCTCATAAGAGGTACTTGCATCCTCTCTGCAATTTGTTTGAGGAGTTCTTTTAAATTGTTCACTGTTGATTAATGATCACTTTGCCTCTGCCATGCTATCTAAGATTAGGGAGAGTAGATTTCAAAAACACTTATAATGGGTTGTGGCCCATTACAGAACACAGTGTACAGAAAATCATCCTCTGCATCTCTCTAGTGTCTGAATGGCTATTCCCTTCCCATAGGAAACCCTAACTTTTTAGAATTTATTGGCAACATTTGTAGTGCAACAGTTTTCTTTCTTCTTCTTTGCCAAAAGTTTTCGGGTGTCTTCTATGCTTTTCTACACTTTCAAGATCAGTACAGCCTTTTCTCCTGCGTTTTAGTCAGAACCATAGTATGCCATACTGGTCTTCCTCGCTGGGACTTCTTAACTCAAAGTACATATAGAGCTGATGGGTTTTTAACAAAGCTAGAGGATTCCCGGCTGTCAACAGTGATTGGTTAAATATCCTGGAGCAGAAGAACACCATTATTTATGCTATTTATGCTATTTAGTGAATTTGATATTGGGCTACCTGTCTTTAGAACAAACCATCGTTGTAGAAGAAAGTATATCATTCATAGAATATTGCTTCTCCAAAATCTTACCAAAGTTTAAGGTTTAGGCTAGAATTCTTGGCCACTATTTCTGTCTTGTACACCATACTGATTTTTTTATATATATATATAACTGATTGCCTGCTTTCTCTGGTGTTCTAAGCAACAGATGTCTCATTAGCACCTGAGCTATGCCAGCTTCTGTGGAAGGCTGCAAACTGATTAAACACATGCTCCATTTTTGTCTGTTTATGAGTCATTACTTAAAGGTTTTATCACCAGATTGCCACACTTAATTAAATGCAGCCATAATTAAATGTGAACATCCATAGACCTAGCTTTTTATTTTTGCTCTAACTTCAATAAAATATTTACCTCTTTGCTAATGAAATGCCATAAGAAAGCAGAGAAATAAAAAGGAAAAGAAGAAAAAGAATTAACAAATATATATAAAATATCAAATATCTTTGTGAACTGTCCAGAAAAGGCACTGCTTTCTAAAGAAAGACAACTTTGAGGGATAAAGATGTAAGGCAGAAAGGAGCATTCTGATATTTAAAGACGTCATCCATCATTCATCACACAAATGTAAGCATGTAGTCCTTGGGAAAATTATGGAGTATTCTTGAAATACATTTTTGGGTCCATGAAGGAGAAAAAGGGCATTGGGAGCAGCTAGCATGAATTTACTAGTTAAATAATTACTGAAAATATACTAATGAAGCTGAATAATGCCTAACATTGCCTTCTATGATAAAATGACTGGGTTTGACTAGATTTGAGAATGAGGAGAGAGCAGTAGATGTCATTTACCTTGACTTTTGCAAGGTTTTTGACACTGTCCCCCACAGTGTTCTTTTATACAAGTTGGGATGCTATGGCCTCCATGAGAGCACAACTAGATGAGTAAGAAAGTGATTGAATAATTGGGCTCAGAATGTTAGGGATTTGTACTGTACCAGGATGTTGTGACAAATGGAATAGCATAGGTCTATCATGGGACCTATTCTGCCTAACATACATTGATAAACTGACATATGTTCAGCCAACAAAATGATTCTGGACTGGAGCACTTGCTGTGAAGAGAGGCTGAGGAATCAGGGTTTGTTCAGCGTGGAAAAGAGACGGCTTTGAGGGGACCTAAGAGCAGCATCCCAGTGGAGAAGATTGAGCCAACCCTTCATAGTGCTGCGTGTTGGAAGGACAAGAGACAACAGGTATATGGTGAAATAAGGGAGCTTCAGACTATATATATAAGGAAAACAATTTTCTACCATGTGGGCAGCTAACCCGTGGGTCAGGTTGCTCCAGTATGTAGTGTCTCCTTGAGGAGGATATATCTATCTGTGGAGGTTTTCAAGACCCAAATGAAAAATGTTCTAAGCAATCTGGTTGGATCCAGGCAGTGATAGCTGACTGCTTTGAGCAGGAATGAGGACTAGAGACCTCTTGAAGTCCCATGCAAACATGAATTTTCTCATTATCCCTACCCCATCTAGGAACCCACCAGTATCTGAATTAATGCAGGATGTTGTCCGTGGGAAAATGGGACTATTTTTTCCCCCTAAAAAATATTGTTTACAGAAACTTGTTAATTTTAAAAATTATCTCAGTTAGAGTTGAAGATTTGAAAATTAGACAGTTAAAGTGAGACTACCTTAGTACTTTATAAAGACAAAGAATCTTAATGATTAGTTAGATAATATTCAAAGCAGTGGCTTTTTACAGGTTCTGGAAAAATAACCAATAGGCAATTTCCAAGTGATTTGTAAGAAGTTCTTAATAATTAAAAGTTATTTAATTAAAAGTTATTTAATTATTAAGACAAGGACACAACAGTCCACTGAGATATAATCAAAAACATTGTTATAGGAGGAGCTCTGCTACTGTTTTTTTGAACCCTTCCAGGCTCATAAGACACAACCTGAGCTGAGTGTTGCACAGTTCATTAAGTGTGCCCTGCTATATTTTCCAGCTGACCTGACTTATGAGTGACTTCCAGAAATATTAATAATACTGCTATTTCCTCAAGCTCTTTGTCCAGATTATAGTATTTCTTTCCATACTACAATGTGCCTGCTGCACATCATCAGAGTGTGCTGTTATTCCTTACCCTTTATATAAAATGAGTTATGGGAAAACTTTTTCTCTGAGTTTCAAAGTTCTGTTCCATAAAGCTTAAATAAGTTTAGAAAAAAAAAGCAGCTTCTGCTTCTTCAAATTCTACCCTAAATCCTTGAAAGCTGTCATTCTAAATACAGTATATGTCCTTTCCCATCTTTTATTATTATGAAGGTTAAAATAAACTATCAGTCTCAGAACTGGGCTTTGAATTGCCTCATTATAGCAACACCAAAACTAGATATTTAAAAAGAAAAAAAAGAAAAAAAAACAAACAAAATCCATAGCTTTTCAGTAATAATTTAGATATCCCTTTAATCTAAACCCTCTAGATAATCTGCAGTGGCTGGATTGATGTTATAATGTGCAGTGGGATATTAAACTGTGAAAAGGCTGGAATTCGGTGTGAACTTGGAAAAAAATTAAAATTTTATTAATTCTGCCTTTGTTGAAGACAACGGGAGACCTCTACTCCTGAGGTTTTGTCCGCTGTGGAATAACTTTTCTTAACTGTTGAGTTTTGTGTTTGGAATGAAGAAGTCAATGTAGAACCCCATAATCTGGAATGCTTCAGCAGAAGTGGGGATGCATTTTGATCTTAGGTACAATCCCAAGTTAGGAGTGTTGTATCCAACTAGCAGACGCGCTGAATTGCTGCTGCTGCTGTCAAACGAAGATGACCCCTCTCTCAGCTAAGTTATTCTGGACAGGAAATAGTTGTAAAGCAAAAAGCCCTGCTTGTCCTTATTCACTCAAATGTTTTTAGATGTAAGAAACTTATCCTGGTCTGAAAGAATTGCTGTTATGAACCCTAATACTCTACATTAATTTTTCTAAGAAGTGAGCAAAATTTCCTTTTTGTTAGCTTGTAAAAGACCTGAGAGATGAAACTTTAATATATCCTCAATGCCTTGAAGGTAACAAGTGCTATATATATATGCTAAGAGCTGGAATTATTTGTCAAAATCATTTAAAAATTATATAATTAAATAAATATATTCTTTTGCAAAAGGCAGATGTAGATATTCTTAAGCATAAAGTAGTTAAAATTCGCTTTATTTTGAAAGTCTCAATAAATATATTTTTTCCTTAGTAAAATAATATTCATATTTTTTTTCCATGGTTTCATGTAACACCTTTGAGTTTACAAACACAAAAGTGCATCCTTAAATTTGTAGCAGTAATTAATATGATTGAATACATATATAAACAGATATTTTCTGGGGAACTCTTAAATACGTACCTTTGACATCTTTACAGGCTCTTTAAGCTATTCCTGGAAAACATCAGTGTTTTAGATGACATTGCTACAGGCTGTTAAAGACAGTCTGAGTATAATTAAAGACACCTGCCAACATTTCCTCATTTAAACATTTGAAGCTGGTAAGGAAAAGGATGATTGAAAAAATCTGGGAAAGTGGAAGAAGAAAAGAGAGAGAGAGAAGAGGGAGAAAGTGTGACATGAATGTTGGTTTCTAATAGCTGACACCCTTGGTGAATCCTGGCTGTGTGGCTGGTTGTGCTTCCTTCCATGGTCTGTGGCAGCTCTGCACTTCCCAGGTCTCATGTGAGTCAAGGGAGCTTCCAGCATGGGAGACTTGTGTTTCCTCAGAGCTGAACTCCCGGGATCTTTGCCTTTCTGAGTGTATATAAAGTGTTTTTTCTCCTAAAAACCACAGAATTAGCAGAACTGTCTTTAAAAGCATGGTTAAGTGTGTGTGTGTGGTTTTTTTTTGCTAATTTTGTCAACACTGGGACTTCTTAACACAGGGCATTGATTTTATTTAACTTTTTGTTTTTTTTGGACAGATAGTGGCTTTATGCTGTATCTCTTAGAGTTTCATAGCTCTGCCTCGGTGTCTAGATGACTTCTATTGGCAGGGTAGTTATGGAAGTGAACTGAAGATAGTATAAACTGTACAAAGAAATTAATGAAAAAATAAATAAAGTGTGATAATAACTTGAAGTGTGTATAAACTCTGTTATCTGACAATATAGATATCTAAGTGCTAGAAAATACAGAACAGTTTAAAGTGGTTTCTCACTTCTGTTGGCTAGAAGAGACTTTGGATGATGCAGTTCAAAGGTTAGCGCGAGGAAAATTTGTCATCTTTTCAGGTTATATGAGAGTACCCATTAATTATCAGAGGAAAAAGTGTCTCTAGGGTTATATGGAAAGGGGCAGAAGGTAGAGGGGGAAAGAGCTTAAGAAAACAGAAATCAATAAAGACTCTACTGACATGCCTAAGATATCAGAAACTTTCCAAGGAGTTGTTCTAGAGAAGAAGGTCATGTAAGTAGATTTTCCAGATATAGGCAACTACGTTCCTTGCCGTAATTGTAAACATCATATGACCATGGAGAAGGACTCTCTCATCTCTGGGCTGTTTAGGTAGTCTAATACCCCCAAGACTCAGCAGGACCAATTGACTTGGCAGAATCTCCAGTCTTCCTTAGCAAGACTATTTTTACCTCCTGTGAAAAACTATGTAGAGCCACTGTAGCTTTGTAAGACAGATTTCAGACTCTTTGCTATTAAAATTGGGTAGAACCCAATCCCATGTTTCCTGGATTATTGTAATGATTAATTAGTTATTTGAAACTCATATATCAGGATAAACCTCCTAGAAATCTTTACATTTTATCAAATATGCTATCTATTTAGGGGAAAAAAATAAAGAACAAAACCAATAAGCAGTGATAAAGAAATCATGGACATAGGAGAGAGGGAGAGTAGAGAAATTTCTGTGTCCTAGAAATATCTCAAGGGTCTTTTTTTCTTTAGTGTTCTGATACCTCAGTAAAATCACTAAATTGACACTTTTCCATGAGAATGAAGCATTTCTGCTTTTCAAAATCCATTCTCGTCAACATGTTGTAAAGAGATTTTTCTAAGTTGATGCTTCTGTTGCAGACAAATCACCTTCTAAGTGTTGAGAAAAATCTAATGATCTCCTGTAGTTAAACAATCTCTCTTCTGGTGACATCCTTAATATTAGAAGGTTCTGAAAAATTTCCAGTACTTAAAGAACTATTTTTCTATGATGGAACTGTTGATTTATTCCCTTATTTTCATTAAGAAAAAAACAAATATGATAAATACAGATTAAAAAATCCTTTAAGAAAAGGAAGTATTGCTTTTTAGGCCATATCATCAATCCAAGGCTTGTACTTTCCTTGATTTATGCATATATCAATGTTCCAAGGCAGTCTGTTTCTGTGGTAGAGGTTTTATTATGTTCTCGTACTTGCTCTTGGCCGGCAGCTTGCCTTTTAGTTCATTTTGAAACAGTCAGAGGTCAGGTGCGCTGAAATGAAAGAGAAGACAGCTATGTTCATCTGTTTTTTTCTGATATAAATATGAAAATATGAAAAGTATTGAGCTTGCCGCACCAGAAGCCAAATGACACTTAAGTTTGTAAAGTTAAACTTAAGTTTGTTGGCTTTTTTGTTTTATTGTTTGGCTATGGGGTTTTTAGACAGCTTGACTTTTTTTCAAAACATATCAATTATTAAAAACGCCTTTCATCTATCTTGTTTTTTTTTTTTTTTGGATCTGTACCTTTCAACAATAATTCAAATATTTTTCTCCTAGGATATTAATTAGATTCTAGCATTAAAACAGAAAGTGTCAGGAGAGGCAAAAAGATACCTACTGAGAGTCATATGCAAACCACAGACTTAAAAAAAGGATGAGCAACTATTTATACTACATTAACTCCTATCCTTTGAGTGCTTAAAAACTAGTTCATCCAAGGCACTTCTTTCCTGAGTTACTATCTTGTCATATAAATGCAGCAGATAGTTTTAGTTCATAATGTTTGTTAACATTTCTGTAGTAACAATGTTAAGAGAGTTCCATTCAGAGGATATAATGGTACAGTTGTTTTGGGCAGCAGAGCAGGAGAAGTGCTCCGTTAACCTCCTTTTGATTAGCTGATATAATGCTTTCTTATGGGAAAATAACCATGAGATTTGGAATGAGAATTTCTAGTTGTTTCGTAGGCTTGCTGAGCAACTTTGAACAAGTTACATCACACCAAGCATCTCGGTATCCAGAATTATTAAATGAAAATAATAATATTGTCTCTAATCATGAAATCTCCTGCTGAAAAGGAAGAATACACTAGGCTAACAGTAATGATGTAACTAGTAAAATTTCCGAACAGTATGGTGGCAGTTCTACATTCAAGCACTCTAAATATTCCAAACAGAAAAAAAAAGCTGTCTATATTTTTAAACCACTAGTGTGATTTTATGCATATAAATGATAGATGTTATTTCAGAAAGTCAGTGAATTATTGATATTAATTTCAGCCCTGTTTTAAAAAATCTACTTTAAAATATTAAAGTGGCACCTTTAGGTGACTAAAAAATACAGAGTTTCTGGATTAATTGAATTACATGTGCCCAAAGAGTGTTGGTAGAATGCAATGAAAATGTTCTTTTAATGTCCTTTTAATTGAATATGTTAACTGATCTCTTAAGCAGCCTTTTAATATTCCTTTTGTAAAGTGGCATTTGCCCATGAAAAATCATCTACCTTTGGATGAAACTACTTGAGTTAATTTGACTCAAAACAAAGTCCTTCAGTACAATTAGGAAGACTTCACAGAAGCAGATAGAGCAAAGCAAAGTCCTGCTCAGGGAAATCTTTCAGAATCTCCATATTTACATGGCTACAGAAACAGAATTTCATATTTCCTGTGAACTTAAATTCTGATACAGACGTTTAGCAGTTTATAACAATGCCTTGCATATCTTATCTTTCTCTGCCCTGGGCTTATCCAAAAATAGACACTGATTTCTTCAAGTGTAGTCATTATCTCAAAGAGCTGGACTCTTTCACTGCTAGAAAACATGCAAGTCCATGAATGTTGCTCTGCTGGATTCACTCTGTGAACTGTGCTGCTCTGTTATTAACTAGGCCCTGCCTTAGAAAACATATTCCTTGAGCTGAATAGGCACACATACTTTTTATTTTTTTATTTTTTTGGTTATAAATGTATATTGTCTAAATGACTTAAATTTATGGTCTCTGGATGTGAAAGTACTAGAACTTCACTTCTTGATTCTGAAAAAATCCTGATATTCAAATAGTTGGGTTTAAACTGAAAAAGAAGTCAGGAATTCCTATGATATTTTATTTCTGGTTTTGTATCCATGTGTTCGGGTGTGTTTTTTTTTAATTTCTCTTAGCAGAGAGGCAGACGTAAAGCAGATCCTGTGTGTGATAGTATTTGACACATGATTCATCAAGTATAAACAGTGGCAGATGGAAGCTTACAGATAAACTCGCGTTACCTAAAACAAGCTGCCTGAACTCTCACATATCTACAGGGAATCACACAGGAAGGTTACAGGGAGGTCAGCCTCCAGATGATGAACATTTGAGATAGGTGACTGAGATTATGATTTGTCCAGGTATACTAATTGATGTTATGTACAGAATTGCACTTTGTCTCCTAGCTTTTCATAATAGAGATTTTCACAGCATTCCAACTCTTTGGAGTCTGTGATTTTACATGATTATTTGTGTTTAATTAAGCAATATTTTCAATAATCAAGAGGAGAAGCAAATAATTCAAAATTTTATTTTTTTTTTTTAAAAGCTATCTCTCTTGCAAGCCTCACTTCACCAACCAATGCATGGTTGGTGTCAGAAGTGCTGGGAAAGGGCAGACAAATCAATAATGATATTATAAGGGAATTCCTCCATTTTGGGGGGTGATGATCTTGATCCTGCACTTGTTCAAATTAAAACAAACAATCAAAAAAAAAAAAAAAAAAACCCACAATGTTAACACTGACATGTTAACTACCAGCGTGCCATGGTGAGGCTCTTTGCAGTGCTGATTGTGGTCCCTCTCTATCCCTTGGTCAGGCACTACAGAACTCCAGGAGGGGAGCTCGGAAACAGACTCAGTAGAAGAGGGCTCCCTTGTGACTTGGCTGTAAGAGCAGCTATGCCAGATAAAACATTTCTTCTCTCTAAAAGCTAGCTTGAAAGCCTTCGGAGCCAAGAGTAATCTCTCTTTTTGGATCAGGTCTGATGTGTGTTCTGCATTTCCTATCCAGGCTGATCCCATCAATGGAACAAATCAACTGAGTAACTCTGCAGAGTAAAAGCAGCAAGGTCAGAACTGTATTTAGTAAAGTTTTGACATGCAAAAACCTTCCCTAATGGAACAGTGAACAAAAATCTCCAATTAGCTAAAGCAAATGTTATAGCTTGTCTTTGGATTCATTCATTAGGCTGTGTTTCTGTGGGAGGATTTGGATTTACTCTTTTCTTTTTTTAATGTCATGTAGCAATGATTATGTTTAGTCAGTAAATTTCAGCATATTCTACACGTTTATGACAAGCTGAGATACAATCTTATAAGGTATAAAAAATTCATTACATTTAAATATTCATTGTTAGGAGAAGCTGGATTTCTGTTTGTGATAACAAAAATCAGTATGAGCAGGCAGACAAAATATATTAGGAATCTAATTCAGAAGAAAAAGAGAAACAATGCAGAGTCTTTACGTGTGTCTGATTTAGTAAAAAATGCATAAGGAAAG